CAGAGAGAGAGAGAGAGAGAGAGAGAGAGAGAGAGAGAGAGAGAGAGAGAGAGAAGCTGAAGCCCATCCCATCAACAAAACTAATCCTCAAAATTGCATCACACGAACAATTACTATCACCACTCCAATTTAACAAATATAGACACAGAAACGGCAATTCCCACTTCATCTACGAAGCCATATTAAATGCATGCCCACAAAATCAACACATAGAATCCCGCAATAAATGAAGGGCTCGCCTAATAATTGCAAACTTTCCACTTCCCCTAATCAATCAAGCTCTCACTTTCCCGATTTTGCTAGTGAAAACGCAACATACAGCTCCAAAAAAATCAAATCGATACTAAAAAAGTGAAGAATTTACCTGATTTAGGAACAGCTCAACGGGGTTGAAGGAGCTCGAGCTCAGAAAAATCAACTCGATGGAGTAAATGGAAAAAAAGGGGGGTTTCAGAGGAGTGTAAAGAGAAATGGGTATCGAAGAAATCCAGAAATAGAATGGCGATGGGAGCTGTATGTATATATGTATACATACATACGTGTGTATGTATAGATGCGTACACAGAGTTGAGCGTGTTTGTGTGTGTGTGCGTATGAGTGTAGAGAGAGAGAAGAGAATTGGTTTTGGCAAATTATGTGAAAATGGGTAGAGAGAGTACAAAGCCCGCAATCTTTAATGGGAGTCGGATCGGTACCCGTACCCGATTTAAGAAATTTTGAAAACTTGAAGCTTATCCCTTAAATCACTTTTTTGAGAGGGATGCAAACGAATCGAACAACAAAGAGTTCAGCTGAAGTCAACGCTCGACTAGATTTCAAGTTTCGTCGAGCTTGATGTTATAATATGTTTAGTTGGGTACTACACTGTGTATATGAGCTGTTAGAATATACGTAAAATTATATAAATATTTATAATTAAATATATTTTAATTGAAAATTTGAGCTGAATTTAAAGCAACCTCGAGCCTTTGTGTGTTGTGTGTGTGTTTTTTTTTTCTTTTAACTGAGTTGAGTCTTAAAATATACGGCTTGTAAAGCACGAGCTCGAGCAATCATAATAGAAAAAATCGAGTCTAACTCGATAAGGTCAATGTTCGACTTGTTTACAGTCTTAACTTTCGAGATACTGGGAATTCTTACGGGATGGTCCGATAAACCTAGTTGAGGTTGGTCTACCCAAAATATTATGTCATTATATCGCCTTTGATTCGAGTAACTTGGAATTTATTTACAACGTTTATTAATAAATATATAAAATAACTCAGAATTTATTTCTTACTCAACTTTTAGATTTATTCAGTACTTATTCGATGAAATTCGATATTTTTGTATATTTTTTAAATATAATATTCCAGTGCAAAAATATATACATTTGTTAAAAAATGTATGATTGTCTAATCAACAATCATGCCTAAAAGACAATCTTACTTAGTATCTCTGCTTTTAAATTTGTTTACTACTTATTCCAATAATTTATTTTTTTTTTCGAAACGATAGGATATATTAAAAATAAAAATGCAGAAATGTTCGAATTACACAATCCCTAGCTGAATGGAACAACCAACAGCTGAAAAAGTGGGAGGACATGTCAGAAGACTGCCTAGAATCCCGACTAGCAATGCTAGAATAAAAACACTCGCAACTACACTAACCAACTACACCAACAACAACGGAAACTACTAAACAAAAGATCCCATCCCACCGGGATAATACCCGAGTGCCCGATCTCAACAGGATAATAATTTTGACACTTGGGCTCACAGAAGCCAATGACCCAAACCAAAGACACAAACCTAAACAATACAAGCTCAAGCACAAACACAAAGAGAACAACCTAAATTAAAAACCTAATCTATAGACACACAAAGCCCTTCCTCAGCGGGATAACCAAACCCAGCACAAGGCACTAACGAAATCAGGACCAATCATCCTATAGCTTGACCCGAAAGTCGAAACACCACTTCCGCTACTGCCTAATGCATAGCAAAGGACCAGTCCCAAGCCTCGAACCACTCCAAGATGAAGCCGACCCACAAACAATGAAATTCAAGACCTTTGTTAATTTTTTTTTTAAATAAATATTTCAGTGCAAATATATATATATATTTCATTCGAAACGTATGAAATGTATAAACACAATTTATTTATATTTCACCATATTATATATATGAATCTAAACAAATTTGAAATGTTTATTATATTTTAATGCATTAATATATGAATTTGAATATTGTTATATCTATTTTGGGATTAAATACGTGTAATTGATACATTGAGTTATTATATTGTTTAGTCAAATTAAGTGATCAAAATTATTGTACATTGGCTAAGAAACTTAATTTGGACTGTGGAATGATTAAATGTAGACATCCGGTAATATTATTATTTGGTGACGTAACAAATAATAATATTAAACTTAAGGACATAAATAACAAATAAATTGGGTCAAAATTATTTATGGATTGAGTCCCCAAAACCGTGAAAATAAAGTGATGTCAATTAGGATAACCCATAAAAAAAAATCAAAGAAGGTGGTTGGCAGTTGCCCGACACATTAATTGTATAATTATCACTAATTAATATAAAGGGAAAAAATGGGGCATCATGTCAGAAGAATTAGTTCTCCTTTCATACGTCAAAAGAAGGATAAGGAATATAAAGAAAATTCCCCTTCTTTTGGAAGATCTTCATATCCCGAAATTCCAATTCAAATTCCAGTAAAATAAATTAATACGAATTCATCATGTACGCTTTTGTTGTTCATTTATGATTCTCGATTATTCAATATGAACGCTCTTGTGATTAATATCGATTTATTTCAAATAAAAATTAAATTCAATTCTAACAATTGGTATAAGAGACATTCATATAGAATTTTTTGGGAATCAATTTTGATTTTTTTATCAGAATGGATTTGCTGCTTAGGATTTATACGAAACTTGTTATTTCCTCGATTACTGCTTGTGAATTCGAATGGTTTTTTTTTCCAACGACAAAAAACTTTTATAAAAACTCAAATCAACATTTTAGATCCGAGCCACCAACTAATGACAATACTAGAACAGAGGAGTAAAACATACACCTCTTCAATACACTAATCAAATCATAGTTCATTAATATTACATATCTCATATAAAGCTGAAAGATGAAAAGACAAAAGTCAGCTCCATGATATCATCTGCAATGGCTCTGCAGCAATGCTCAAACTCTTTTTTCCTGTTAAGCTTAGTAGTCACAGCTTTCTGTTGAAGCCTACAGATGCATTGTTGCCAGCCATGTTCCAAAGCCTTCATCATAGCCCATCTTGCAGCTGTCAACTCATTTCCCTCCTTACAACCATTACACCAGATCTGCTCTATCCACTAGCATGATTCATCTCCTTCCATTTCAGCAACACATATCATCTCCAGTTGATTCTCAGTAGAGGTTAAAGCACTAACATTGAGGATCCAATGTCCTACCTTCTGGAAAAAATCCTCTACCTGAGCAACATAATTCGGAGGGCTTGATATGGGACTCTTGGTATTCACATTCTGCACAACTAAAAATTCCAGCCATTCTTCCCTTGCCCCCTCAGCAATTTGCTTCTCAGGGATTCTAATTTCTTGAAAAATTCAGATGTTCATAGTCTTCCAGAGCCACCATAAGATATAAGTTGATAGGCTGGCTTTATCTCTCAGATTTTTTCTTTGAGGGGCACTGCAGATCTGACTCCACCAATCTCTAAAATTAATGTGATGCTCATTGGAGCAGTCTCAGCTAATGCCACTCAACTTCCATACCACTCTAGCCCTGGAGCAGTTGAATAAAATGTGATCAATGTCCTTACCTTCCAGTCCACAGATTTTGCAAATGTTGTCCTCAACCATATTCCTCTTGAGGAGCTGATCATTGGTATACATGAACCTAAACCAACATTTCCATAGGAAATGATTGATTTTGGCTTTGACTGAAAGATTCTAAGTGACCTTCCACACTGATTTCTCCACACTGGGGCCCCTACTAGAACTAGCAATGCTCTTATTCATCCAGAACAAGTTCTCAAAAGCCTTACAGGCTGATTTTACACTAAAATTCTCATATTTTTCATAAATTCAGATCAATTTATCATTTTTACCCAGTAAAGAGATGGGAATCTTTAGTATAATCTCAACCTCATTAGGCCTAAAAATTTGCCTCACTAAATCTCTGTCTCACCCCCCTCTCTCATAGCTCACATGATCACTCACCCTCCTAACCTTATCTCTATCCTGATCAGAAACACAAGTGGGTATGGGGTTCAACTCTCTAGGGAGCCAGGGGTGCTCCCATGTTAAAATGTTATGTCCATTTTCCACTTGAAATCTAATAGCCAATTTCAGAAATTTAATAACCCCCACCCAACTTTTCCATAACCAAGAATCTTCACTCTTAGGAACCACCTCTATCAAACTCCCACTATGAAAATATTTCCCTTTAAAAACCTTACTTATTAACAAGTTTGGGTTGGTCAAAATTCTCCATAGTTGTTTTACAAGTAAGGCAACAATGAAAAGTCTCACGTTCCTAAAACCTAACCCACCTCATTCCTTAGGTTTAACCAAATTTTCCCAAGTATCCCAATGAGTTTTGTTCTTTCGCTGATTATTAGCACCCCACCAGAAATTAGCCACTGCCCTGCTGATATCTTTACATATACTAACAGACAATTGGAAGCAAGACGTAACATAGGTTGGAAGTGCTTCAAGAACTGACTTGATGAGCACTTCCCTTCCTGAAGTGCTAAGAAAGTTGTTAGTCCAGCATGAGAGCCTGCTAAGAACACATTCATAAACATATTTGAAAGTTTCTCTCTTTGACCTACCAATACCTAGGGAAGCCCTAGGTATTTGGCAAATCTCACACCATTCAGTAAATTACAGATTCTCCTTTTGGACCTATCTGGGGTATTCAAACAGAAAAGAACACAGGATTTGCTCATATTAACACACTGACCAGAAGCAGAGCCATAACAATTCAAAAGATAAAGAATAAGCTCAGCATGATAATCGTCAGCCTAACAGAACAAGATAGTGTCATCTGCAAATAAAAGGTGAGACAATGGGGAGAGAACCTTCTGATTTTAAGCCCAAAATATGGAGAAGCAGAACAAGCTTAGTCCTCACAATATTAGATTCTTCTTTTGATATTAATTGGGGCCCGCACTTTACTTCCATTATCTAAAATAACTATATCGCAAGCGATGCCTTTGATTTTACTCAAATTAATTGATTACTTGCAGGCTGCAGCAACTAAAGATAAAATCATGAACATTCAAAGATTTGTTATGTTATATTTCTCTCCAGATCAAATAGAATAAGAGATTCAATTCAGTTAGTCCCGTTACAAAAACATTTCGTCGAGATTTGTAACTGTTAAGATCAATTATCCCCGAAAGTAACATGGTGATCTAACGATTACAAACCCCGATGGAATGGTCAGTACGTAACGGAACCGTAGCATTTCCCATTAGTTAGGTGTATAAAATTTACAGTTAATATTCGAATTTATGTTAAATCAGTTTGACAGATGAGATATTTCACTCAGAGTCGCCAAAAAAAGAACATAAATGTGAAGCTGCAGACTCTTCATTACCATTCATTATTATTCTGTGTTCATCAAACACACATAAACTGAAAAAAAAAATGTTAAAAACTCACTGAAAAAAGTTCTCTTCTTGCATAGAACACACTAAGCAAATTATTCTCCTAGATACGAAAAAAAAACACGACGAAAATACTCAGAAAACAGAACGAACTTACACCTAAAGAAGGCCTCAAATTTCGCTGCTAGCCGATGCCATAGTCGACAAAGACGACCCGGAAAGCGAATCCGACAATTGGCGCCCCTTTAAACCCGAGTCAACAACCCCTTCATCCTGCAAGAACCCGTCATCGAACGAGAGCCCGTCAAAGATACGCTCGATATCATCCTCGAAATCCGTGCAGTCGAGCCAGCCGAGATCCTCGGAAGTTGGCTCGAAGGGAATCTCGGGCAGCTGGGGCATTTCGAAATCTGTGTCCAAGTAGATATCCCAAGGGTGCTCGTGCTGCGGGCCCAGCACCAGGGCTGCCGCATCATCCATCGGCGGCTCGTGTGGCGGCTGCTCGTCGTGTGTTGACTTTTTCTTGTTGGTCGGGGTTTCTTCCGGTGGGGTGATGAGGATTCCGAGTCCTCCCTCCGATTGGATTTTCTTGAGCTCGTCAGCGTAAACGCTGATGTCGAAGTTTGTGACGGCGTTCGGGCCGCGTTGTTGGATGGCCGCCAGGTCGTACGCCTTGGCCGCTTCCTCTTGGGTGCCTGCATATGAACGAGTAAAAAAATCGATACGTGGGCTCGGATAAATTTTTTTTCGGATTATGATGCGATCAAAAAACAATATAAATTAGACTTGAATTCGACATTGCTTAGAATCAATCTGTTCAAGTTCAGCTCGTTCAGTACTCAATTTTTACTACACGTTAGGCTGGCTCACAATATGTATTATGAAATTTAAGAAAGAGAAAATGTCCCTCCACCCCATAAAATCATGGTTTTCAAAACCGAACATGTCATCGAACAAGTGAAGTTACCGGTTCAATGGATCAATGGTCGGACTAGTGATCGAACCAATTTAATTAATATATAATTTTTATTTATTTTATATGTATAATATATAATTGTATATATTTTTATCATTAATTTTATAGTGTATAATGACATTCTTAAATAAGAGTCCACTGATAAATGTAACCAATAATGTTGACTAATGTTGATAAATTTTTTATTTTTTATTTATATTTTAATATACATTTAAGTTACATAATAGGTAATAAATTTGCTTTTTAATTAGATTTTAAGTTTTTATCATTTTTAATTTTGGAATTTTTTGGTTTTGATAATTTTGGAATACAAAGTCCAATCCCCAAAATTAATTTGATTTTTTTTTTAGGAAATTAAAGTAATTTTATAAATTAAGCCTCATATTGCACAATTTATTTAACTATCTAAATTGGGCCTTTGAGTACAAATCATTCACAATTTGTAGAATTATCAATCAGTCCAAAGTAATATTATAAGCCCAAGTCCAAAATCAACTTATAAACTCAAGTCCAAAACAAAAGGCAAGGAAAAGATGATGTACTAGTTCACATGGAAAGTACAAGGAAAAAAAGCAGGCTATATAAATGATAGCTTTAGCTTTTCCTTCCAAAGCCTAAAAATGAACCGGTTAGCCCGCAAAACCGGTGCCGGTTTAACCGGTTTTGGTCACAGGCGGTTTACTACCTCAAACTCGACCGGTATGATGGCCGGTTTCCAGTTGATCGGTCCGGTTTTGAAAACCATGCTTAAAATTGAGTTGACTCAAAAAAACAAACTCTACTTTAATTGGTTGGAATCAATTTGCTCAAGCTCAGCTACGTTCAGTACTCAGTTTTTGACTACTCGTAGGCTGACTCACAATGCGTATTATGAAATTCAAGAAAACGAAACTTCCTCCACCCCTAAAATAAGAATTGACTCAAAACACAAACTGTCAAACCGGGGGCATAACGAGTGCGGTCCCACACAAGTGAAGCGCACAATAAGAGGGTTAGTCCAAATGAAGCCCAAGTGAGGTTTCATCCCAAAACCAATTGGTAGTAGGAGGAGTAGCCCACTAGGCTTATAAGTTAGGCCTATTTATCCTATCAAATCAATGTGGGACAACTCACAAGTGACATTCCAACACGCCCCTTCACTTGTGAGTCCTTCATCAGCCCACGCCTCCAACTAGGCCGGGTATATTTTTTAGCCCACGCCTACAACCAGACCGGGTATAATTTTCAGCCCACGCCTACAGCCGGGTAGCTTTTTTTTTTTTTTTTCATATCAGGTCCCAAACTAGGCCCGCTCTGATACCATATTAGAAACGGGGGAAGAGAGTGATATACTAGGCTTATATACTAGACTCATTTTCCTTTGAATTGGACATTGGTTGGAACAATCTGCTCAAGTTCAGCTCGTTTAGTACCAGGGGCTTTGACTAATCGTTAGGCCGACTCACATTACACTATTACGAAATTCAAGATAAAGAAAATGTGCCTCCACCCCTGAAAATTGAATTGACTCGAAAGAAACAAACTCTACTTGAATTCAACATTGATCGGAATCAGTATGCACAAGTTCAGCTCGTTTAGTACTTGGTTTTGACTAATCGTTAGGCCGACTCACAATACGTAATTTGAAATTTTAAGAACAAATAAAATGTCATAAAAGGGTCTTTACTTAAGTTGGAATCATAAAAATGTACGGGATTGATCAGAATTAATATATAAATAAAATGATAAATGGTAAAAAATAAATGCTAATTAATAATAATAATAAAAAAAAAACATTACTGTATGTTCCCAGGTAGAGATATTTATTTCCAGAAACACGTCCGATGCGAGCTTCCCATCGACCGTTATGATGGTGCCTGTAATTTGTAAATGAATAAATTACCTGCTTTATGGGAAATGCTACCG